TTGTCATCTTACCAGCCTCAATCTTTTGGTTAAATGAGTTTTGCGTATTTGTGCCGGATCTAAAGTATGAGATAGCATTTCTGATTGCAGCCACACTATCATCTATTTCTGCCAACCCATCCTTCACAATCAAATTAATGATATGAGCAGCACATCTTACATGCAAAAACTCTCCTTTCATCACTAAAGCTTCATCAAATATGAAAGAGAAACTAGTCTCAAACATACTCAAAGCATTGGTATTAGCTGTTGTATTGTCCACAGTCACACAAAAAAACCTTTTCTATACCCCACTCAGCTAGACAATCTAGAAGTTAGAAGTGTGGCTGCAATTGTCTTACCTTTGTGATCTGTGACATATTTGAACCCAGTGATGAACTTCTTTAACCGCCAATGTGCATCAATGTAATGAGCTGTGATAGCCATATAACTTGCACCTGTGAAGAGAAAAAATATATAAATTAGAACAGAGAACTAAAGAATGGAATTATTAAGTTAAAGAAGTTAATAGACATTACTTGTCACATCACTAACCCAAATATCAATTGTTAAGGAGACTCTTTGTTTGTTAGCAATGAACAATTTCCTCAAAGTAGCTTTCCCCTTAACAAACATCTCAACAATGTCCTTTGTGGCAGTCTTTCTGGAGTGAGGTTTGTAAAGCATTACCTACATCCATATACGTAAAGAAATGTAAACATATTACAATAATCAAATCCAGACATATGTAGATAGATAAACATATGAAACTAATCAGATAAAAAAGTTGATTACCTTCTCGTAGAAGTATTTCCATGCCATAAAATCAACAAAAGCTAATGGCAACTTCGCCATCACAAGTAACTCATTTGTTGCTTCTCGGACAACACCCTCAGACACTTTTGCACTTTTGAATCTTTCATCCTTATCAATAACATGTTGACTCAAATTTGGATCCTTACCTTCTTGGCATGCCATGTATTGTTTACAAATTTCAATATGATTCTTCAAATTTTTAGTCCTTGACTTTGTTGGAAAATTGAATTCCCTTTGGCAATATTGGCATGTACATTTATCACTGTTATCCACTAGTCTTGTAAAATGATTCCACACATATGAGCTTGTAGGGAGTATCCTCTGAACTTTATTTGGATCGGATTTATCTTAAACTCCTTGTGATTGTCTCCTCTTGCCGCTTTGATCAGATTCTAGAGTCTGAATGTTTTTTCCTTGGTCTTCAAACTCATCTTCACCATTGTCTCTATTATTCTGATTTGGACATGATGAATCCATCTGCTAATTGTAAAAGAAAGGAAAAATTAATAAAAGAGCTTATTTTGATGGATCACAACTTCATATGGTCAGTAATAAAAACTAAAGTTAACGTGAACGCTAAACAACTAATCAAAACTAAAGTAAAGAACAAGACCAAGATGAACTAAAAAAATCAAGAACTAAACAACTAAAATCTAAAGTGAATGACTAAACAACTAACGAAACTAAGTAAAGAATAAGAACAATAAGAACTAAACAACTAAACAAAACTAAGTAAAGAATAAGAACAATAAGAACTAAACAACTAAACAAAACTAAGTGAAGAACTATAACAAGACAGAACTAAACAAAACAAGAATTAAACAACTAAACAAAACAAGAATTAAACATCTAAGCATAACTAAGTGAAGAACTATAACAAGAACAAGAACAAGAACAAGAACAAGAACAAGATCAAAACTAAACAAAAATAAGTCACGAACAACTAAAGTGAAGAACATAAAAAGAACACAATAAAACTAAACTAAACTAAAATCTACAAGTCTATGATGAACACAAATTATTTCAGATTCGATTTCCATATAAATGCAAAATCACTAAATCATAACCCAATAATAAACACAAGTGAAGAACAAGAACAACAAAACAAGTTTCAATCAAAAACATGTCAAACAAGAACATGAATCACCCGTGATTGTCTCCGTGAATTCTAAGAGCACTTGGTCTTCAACTTTGCAGAGTGTTGGGGTTGCGCTTCGCTAGGTGATTTTGCAGTGGGCTGGATTCCATGAGATGGGCACTCAATAAGATTATGGTCGGATAAGTGGTTACTACATGAACCATTGTCAGGGTAGGTGACGAGTTTAGTGTCGAGGAAGAACTTGGAAGGCGTGTAGAGGAGTATTGAATCGAGGGGTCGGGTTGGGATATGCGAAGCTTGGACTTTATCTCATGGAGAGTGAAAAGCATAGGCTTTATGCGATGGTAGTGAAAGGTGTTCCAGGATTGAGAGATGAAATATCGTGTAAGGGAAATACGAATGGCGGATTTTCAGTAAGTTTGGCATAAGCACTGTTGACGTATGATAACATATCTAGGTCGTGTATGCAACAATTTTATAAACGGGTTTATGCGATGATAGTGAAAGGTGTTCCAAGATTGAGAGATGAAATATCTTGTTTGTGCTCATCCGCCGTCTTTCCTGATACGCTTGTGCCATGATTGGTTAGTCCGGATTGCTCATGTGTATTAGCGAACAATGTGTTTTCGTCGGAGTTGGGTTTCTGTTACTTGATTCTTGTCCTTAGACCATCTTCAATGTATTTTGCTATTTTTGGCTTAAAAATAGAGGAACTCTATAATAGAGGTATGTTTACTCCAATGTACTCCTCTATAATAGAAATCTCTATTTTTTCCTATATATATAGAGAATATGTATATTTTTCTTCTATATATAAAGTAAAATATAGCAATCTCTATTTTAGAAGTAGAAATAGAGGTGGGTTGGAGCATAGTTGCCTCTATACTCTATTTTAGAGGCAAATATAGAGATAATATATAGATGGGTTGGAGATGCTGAGGTTGTTTAATCGATTATATTGGAGGATATAAATGGGGTTGCATTCCCACGTGATGTTCGTTTGTAATTTTTGTTAGTTGAATCATTTTCGTTGGAGGCAGTCTCTCGTTCACCAAAGAAAAAAATCTTATTATATATATGGAGTATGCTAGCTAATAGAGTATTTCAAAAATATAATAATTGAATATTTCATCAAATACAAAATTTACAATCAGTGAATAAATTTATTTACTAGGTTTTAACTTAATGTGTTTCTAAAACTAATCGTAAACCAAACAAAATTAATTTTATTTTTTTATGAATTATTAAAAATTTGAGTTGGTATCATTACTATGTATCAATAATTATATTATTTTTTTGTCAACATTGAGCTACATTAGCCAAATCCCTACATTCGTAGGGGGTGGGACTCGATCCCTGGTGTGATGGTCCCTGCTCTCATTGGACTTATTATACTTTGCCACTAGACTAGGCTCACTTTACCATCAACTATTATATTCAAAATTGAGGTATTAATATGTGCTACAACATGTCATGTATATTTTAGGTTTAATTGCCGTTTAGAAGTCAAAGCACATGGATTATTAATTATTAAAAAAGGCTTATGATCATATTTGTCAATCTTTTAGTTATATTCTAGGATACTTTTGTGGGGAATTTCAAAAATACCCCTTTTCATATACCTCTTTTTAAAAATACCCCTTTTTCAAACTTTATCAAAAAACCCACTAAAAATATTGAAATTTATCCAAATATGTGTGTAAGCTTATAAATATATACACAAATTACCTTTATATGTGTATAAAACTTTATATACCTTTCATAAATAGCGTAAAAATAAATTATAAAAAACTTATAAAAACTGTATAAACCCTTTTAAAAACCTTATAAAACTTATAAAAACGATTTAAAACTATTTAAAACATTTTAAAATATTTGTATTGAATCTCCGAGTAGTAGTTATTATATAGAAGTACCTTATAAACTATATAAAACTTTGTAATTTTTTATATTTAAAAAGGGGTATTTTTGAAAATGGATAGATAAAATGGGTATTTTTAAAAAGGGGTACACCAAAAGGGGTATTTCTCAAAAAGTTAGACTCATTGTTGTCAACTATTATCAATCTATATATACATTTTAAGTACATTTTGTACTAAAATCTATTTTGGGTTATAACTTTTTATTTTGTAATATTTGCATAATTAAAGCCTTGCCATTTGAATATATAACAAAACTTAAAGGTAATTAAATCACTATAAATAGGAATATAACTTTAGATTCTAGTACAAAACCACTATAAATAGGACTATGCTCCCAACTACAAATGAGTAGGAGATTTGATTTCTCGTGCATCCAAATTAAAAAAATTATTCGGTTTAATCTAGTTCTTTAATCGAGAAACTTAAAACTTTTATAAAGTTTCAAAATATTATATTTTAAAATTTTTTTATAATATTATAAATATTAAACTTGTAAAATCTTTAAATATTATAATATTTGAACTTTACAAAAAATAAAATATTATTTTTATTTTAACTCTAAAAAATTTAAAATAGAATATATTGTAGATAAATAAGATTGAACAGATTTGAGTTTACATATTTTTCTTACATATTGTTTATAGTTAAAATCTTTTACGGATTAACTTAAAAGATAATATTTTTTATTTTAAAATCTTCTCGCGGATTAAAACCTAGTGTACATAAACACATTCACAAAGTCGGAAAAAAACATAACTTATGTTGATATACATAAGTGAATCTCCGATCCCAAAATAATTTCATCATAATTACAAATTATTTTTAAATTTAATAGTCATTTTATCTTTGTGTTTGGTATCAACTTATATTTAACTAAATATGTATTTAATATTAAAAATTCATAAGTATATATAAATGGACAAAAATTGCAAATTTATAAAACTATTAAGCATATAGCAAATGTAAAATGATTTAAAACGAAAAATCAACGATAATCCAATGGTACATTTTGTTCGTCTTCTAGAGTCTTCTTTTGTTGTTCGATTTTCCTTTAATACTATGTGATAAAAAATAAAATAAAGAAATTATTTATATAAAAATTAATTGGACACGAAACGATGAGTTTGCCCTAAAAGGATGAACCACAATCACGCGTCTCCGTTTCTCTCAGCCTCCCTTACCTCTATATAAATATATATATCCACAAAAACCATCTCTTTGCTTCGCTGTTTCTCTCATTATTCATCTCTTCATCGTTGCTACTTACGTTTCTTCTTCAATCTCTTCAGAGATTAATCCTCCTTTTCGCAGTCTTACAAGGTAAAGATTCTACCTTTTTGCCTTTATCCTCGATTGCGTGAATCTGTTCCTCTGATCTGATTTGTTTCTGTGTATGTCAATGAAAAGTCTGATTCTTTGATGTTAGATTAGGTTTGGTATTGTAAATCTTGAAACTTTACTTTGTTTTCTGTAATGTGTTCTTGATTTTTCTAAGGAGTTAGGGTTATTCATGTTGGATCTTTTGGATTTGTGAATATTAGTGTTTCGTTGAATTGGAAAGGTCAAGTCTTTGTTTAGGTTAAGCAGAATATACCAGAGTAACTCTTTTAGTGGTTTTTGTGTATATTTGGTAGCTCAACTTTGTGTTAATGATTTCATATTGTAAATCTTGAAACTTTACTTTGTTTTATATAATGGGTTCTTCTGGTTATAAATCTCAGGATTTAGTGTTATTCATGTTTGATCTTTTGAATTGGTGTGTTTCATTGAATTGGAAAGGTTAAAGTCTTTGGTTAGTGGTTTCTGTATATATTTGGTAGCTCACTTTTGTGTTAATGATTTTGTGTTTAGGTTTCCATATTGTAAATCTTGAAACTTTTCTTTGTTTTCTGTTACGGGTTCTTGATATTTTGTTTAAGAATTTAGGGTTATTCATGTTTGATCTTTTGAATTGGTGAATACAAGTGTTTCATTGAATTGGAAAGGTTAATTATTTGATGGTTTCTGTATATATGTGGTAGCTTACCTTTGTGTTTAGGTTTTCATATTGTAAATCTTGAAACTTTTCTTGTTTTCTGTTATGGGTTCTTGTTTTAACTTTCAGGATTTAGGATTATTCATGTTTGATCTTTTGAATTGGTGAGTGTTTCATTGAATTGAAAAGGTCGAGTCTTTGATGGTTTCTGTATATATGTCTTTATGGTTTTGCAGGAAGTTGGGCAGTTTAAGCTGCTGGGATCTATCAGTTTGTCAAAAGTGGAGTGTGAAGAATCTTTTATGTCTGAACAGGCTTCTCTCTTTCAATCATCTATCCGGCTTTTAGGGGAGTACTGTCCTATATCTAGGAAAAAGTCCACTCGTAAAGTTGGTGGTTTGCGTCTTGGATCTTTTGAAGCTGTCAACAACATCAACACAAGCTGTTTTGGTTTTCAGTTTATGCGAGCGAGTGATTATCACTGTCTCTTCTGACATTCCTCGTCTGTTTACGTGTTTGCTTGTTTGTTGAGTCAAGATGGCTTTGCAAAATATTGGTGCTTCCAACCGCGACGATGCCTTCTACAGGTACAAGATGCCGAGGATGATGACTAAGATTGAAGGCAGAGGCAATGGTATCAAGACTAATGTTGTCAATATGGTTGACATTGCTAAGGCCTTGGGGAGACCTGCTGCTTATACCACTAAGTACTTTGGTTGTGAGCTTGGTGCACAGTCCAAATTTGATGAGAAGACTGGAACCTCTTTGGTCAATGGGTCTCATGACACTTCCAAGCTTGCAGGACTTCTGGAGAATTTTATCAAAAAGTATGTTCAGTGTTACGGATGTGGGAATCCTGAAACTGAGATACTCATCACAAAGACGCAGATGCTTCAGCTGAAATGTGCAGCTTGCGGGTTTATCTCAGATGTTGATATGAGGGACAAGCTCACATCGTTCATTCTTAAGAATCCTCCTGAGCAAAAGAAGTCATCTAAGGACAAGAAGTCAATGAGGAGAGCTGAGAAAGAAAGGCTGAAAGAAGGTGAAGCAGCTGATGAGGAGCTGAGGAAACTCAAGAAGGAGGCTGCTAAGAAGAAAGCAGCAACCACTGGTACCTCGAAAGACAAAATTTTGAAGAAGAAAGATCATTCTCCACCTCGAAGCCAGTCTGATGAGAATGAGCAAGCAGACAGTGAAGAAGATGATGACGATGTCCAGTGGCAAACAGATACTTCAAGGGAGGCTGCTGAGAAACGAATGAAAGAGCAGCTCAGCGCTGTCACAGCTGATATGGTGATGCTGTCTACAATTGAAGAGAAAAAGCCAGCAGTTGAGGTGAAGAAGGCACCAGAAGTGCTGCATGAGAATGGCAATAGCAAGATCCCTGAGAATGCTCATGAAAAGCTTGTGAGTGAGATAAAAGAGCTTCTGAGCAGTGGTTCATCGCCTTCACAACTCAAAACAGCCCTAGCATCAAACTCCGCAACCCCCCCTGAGAAAATGGACGCCTTATTCTCTGCCCTCTTTGGAGGCGCAGGCAAGGGATTTGCTAAAGAAGTGATCAAGAAGAAGAAATATCTCGTGGCGGTGATGATGACACAAGAAGATGCAGGAGCTCCTGAGCAGCAGATGGTTTTGCTTAATGGAATAGAATCTTTCTGCACAAAGGCGAGCGCAGAGGTAGCCAAAGAAGTTGCTCTTGTTATCAAAGGGCTCTACGATGAAGACCTTTTGGAAGAGGATGTGATTGTTGAATGGTACAATAAAGGCATCAAAACCTCCCCGGTGCTGAAGAATGTTACTCCTTTCATTGAGTGGCTCCAGAACGCTGAGTCTGAGTCCGAGGAAGAGTGATGATGTGTTTTTTTTAATTAGTGTCGTTTAGAACTGTGTCTGTGTTTGTTCTGTGAGTCTTGAATAAGGTAAGAGGACAGTGGCCAAGGTTTCTTCTACATGTTAAGGAATACCTGGTGGTCTCTCGGTATTTGTCTTGATTTCTACGTATGTTGTTGTATGGTTTGTGGCTTTCCTAGAACCTTTCTATCTATGATTGAAACTTATTTCTATATTTCTCGACTGATTGCAATAATTTGGGTTCATAAGGCTTACATTTTAAATTCTTATCAAGTATAGGACTTCACATTATATGTGAAACAAAATTAGGCTACATGATTCAATCCTTTTTATTCAAGAAAACTTCATCATTGCCAAGTCTGCTTATAAATCTTTTTTATTCTCCATTCACACTTGAAATTCTAACCGAGTTTTCAAGAAAATTTAGTGCGTTATTCAATAACTTTAGCTTTTGGTGTTGAATTAAGCTCACCTAGACTAACAATATGTACTTTATAATTTATATAAAAAACAACTAAAATTAAGTTAGACCAATTCAGAAGACTTCATACATTTTCCAGATTGGTCCAATTTTATATTAGTTAATTATATATATTAGTGGGGAAATAACAAAGAATTTAACATGTATTTGACCAATACTGAAAACTGAACTGGTAACGTGAGTTCATTTATCTATATATATATGCATAAATTTACATCTTAAGATTTATAAGTTAAATAAATCAACCAAAATTATGTACAAACTCACGGTTTGGATACTAACTTTGAGTTTTCTTCTGTTCTCTGGATTGTCTAACATGGCACTAGCCCGGGTACAATATGAATCTCCAAACATGTGTTAGTTTTTTTTTTTTGACTTTTGTTGCAAACAATGTTAGATGTATTGTTCAATTTTCGGTTCTAATTCAAAGTATTTTGATGAAAACCATATATTGTTCAATTTTGTTCATACGTTGAACCTTTTGTTTTGGTTATATGGTTCACAATTTATATCTTCAAATCAATTATTTACAATAGTTTGAATTTATGATTTGCTTAATAAGTTTTTATTTTACTCCTCTCGGGTTTTCGACTAGGATTTTTTCCTTTTTCGAGATTATTAGCTAATTGTCGGTTTTTTATACGGAAAATATTAAGGAAAGATGTTTGGGATCAAAAGGTCTTCGATGAGATCAAAATTGGTGTAGGAGGCAGTGATTCAAAGCATGGCCATTCATGTACAAGAAGTTGTAAACCTAGCTGGCCCTGAGAATTCGAATGGCGGGAACAATAGAAAATTTGTAAAGCATATATTAATTGTAAGATTAAATAAAAAACAATGGAAATCAGCGTAAGAGATCTCAAAATGCCTGACAAAAAAGAGAGAGATCAAACTTCTTACTGCCTATAAAATGGGATGTTTCTTTTACCAGCTTACTAGGTTCGGACCCGCGCTACAGCGCGGGGGTAATAATTACATATATAACTTTTAACGGATTATAATATATTACAGTTTAATTTGATTGCAATGTAGTCGATTACGGTGAATCATATATTTGTGTAATAAGTTTAAATAAAATAATAAACGAAAAAGCGAGTAAATAATAATACATTGAGTTTTGATACAATAAAAAAACAGTGAAAATTTAACAGCACAAACTATTCAATTTGACCATTTCTGTAGTAAAAGTAGGAATATTTGTAAAAACTACATACGTACAATATATCTTTTTAAGGACAAACCCATAACAGAATTCATTTTGTAAAAAACATTATTCATAACTCGCTTTAACATTATAATTGTGATTTTAATAATCTACCCGCGAACTATCTAAAATTTACATAGTTTGAAATATAATATATTTTATCAATTAAAATTATGTCTCCAAAATTACATCTATGTCTCCAAAAATATTTTTTTAATATTTTAAATTCTAAATTTTTTTATATATATATATGAACTTTTTCATTATAATATTTTGAAACTTTTTAGACTTTTAAATATGCTCATGTAACAATGGCTTTAATATTGGTCATACTCATACTAATTTTAAATCATTGTCCAAAAGAATTAACCGAGTGTAGTTGAGTATTATATGTCCGTTTTGAAAAATTCAAATTGCAACATATGCAAAAAAAAGTTTAATTTTTATTTAATATTTTTATTATATAGTATAATATCATAAATTAAAAATAATATTAAATAAAAGTTAAAGAAAAATAATAATTGATTAGTAAGAGAAATATTAGGAAATCATAAAATTAGTTATGGAAATAAACAAATATTAAGATTAGATATGGAAAGTATCCGATGTATGTATCTAAACCCAATTTGATATCCAATTTTGAAGTATCCAATTGTTAAAATCGGATTATTTTAAAAATTTTGACCCGACCCATATTCTATTATGTACTTCTCTTTTACTAATATAGGAATATAAAACTTACTAAAAATCGGCATATTAAGATTGTGAATGTTCAGAGTTAAATCTATATTAACATTTTTGAAGTACCTTTTGTGTTCTACCCTTTAATTTTGTGTTATTTTCATAATTAACCCCTTGCCGTTTGATTAAATAGAAAATCTTAAGACAAATTTTGTAATTAAATCATAATAATATTGCAAAATTATATTTCAATATTTATTAGATTTAACAAATTTCCTAAAATCTCTCCTAATAAATCAAATATTTCTCCAACACCTTTATATGATCTTATTTATTTTTAAATTTATATTATTACATAAACATATGTATAATAAATTTTTTTTTTTTTGGCATATGTTGCAATTTGAATTTTTAGAAACGGATGTATTTTACTCAAACGATACAAAAATAGATGTACTAAAGTATTATTGATAATTGTGTACCACGGGTCATGTCATGGATCGGGTTATAATTTACATAATTATGATTATATATATTTTTACGGGTTGTCTACTATAATATAACTCACAAAATATTTTAATATGAAATTATATTATGTAAACGAATATTATGTCAATATCATTTCATTTTTTAAATATTATACTTATTTAATTAATTTGATCAAATTACGATTATACAAAAAATAAATTATCATTTAATATTCTACAGGTTAAATCATAGAATTAACAATCAAAATATAGTTGTACACTCTTATATACCAAACAAAATTAATAAAAATAATACATTTTAGGAATGTCTGTCCCGCGGTGTAGCGCGGGTTAAAATCTAGTTGATGACAAAAAAGCTTCTCTTACTTGTACTAAGAGCCGCATCTAATTAATTATAATTATTAATTATAAACAATGTAGTATTCAAAGATATGTGATGATCTTTTCACCACCTTACATTTCCTTAGGATAGAATAATAATTATGTATTTGTAAAAATAAGAAAATTTTGACACAATTCTTTGTAGTTTAATATATGCGTGTAAGAGAAAATAATCAGCTTTTATTATAACTAAACTAGCAGTTGACCCGCGCTCCGCGCGGGAGGTTTATAATTTTGTTTTGTTGATTTTTTATTCATATTGTGATATATATTTTTTTTTTTTAATTGATTTTCAAAAAATATTATAATTATTTTCTCTTTAATTATTATCTTTCAATACTCAAATTTGGATTAAAAGAATTTGATTCAATTTATGAAATATCATTTTTTCTTTCTTTTTGATCATGTTATAAACTAATATTTCACTTTCATTTTATTTTTCCTCTTTATAATTTTTATATATACAATTTCATAAATGTTGTTTTAGTCTACCATAAATTTAAATTTTACTTCCATTATAAAACTCAGTAACATATTTAAAATATTAAAGGGAGATTTGCACAACTAACCTTTATTATGATACCCTTTTCTACAAGTACCCTCTCTAGGTGTTCATTTTCAAAAATACCCTCTTCAATGTGCAAATGACTAAATTACCATCCTTTATTATAACCCATGATGAAAAAGGAATATTCTTCCAACAAAAAGAATATTCCTTCCGAAAAATTTCCCGCCAAATTTTCCCGCCAAAACTTTTCGGCAAAAATTTTCCCGCCAAAAAAAATTTCCCGCCAAAAAATTTCCGACAAAAATTTTCCCGCCAAAATTTTTCCGCAATTTCTTAAAAAAACCTTGTAAATATTTATAAATCCCTTAAAAAATCCTTTAAAAACCCTTGTAAATCTTTTAAAAGTCATCCAAAACCTTTCAAAACTTGAGTAAACCTTTTAAAACCATTGTAAATCATTTTATAACATTTATAAACACTTGTAAATCCCTTTAAACCACTTATAACCGTGATAAATCATTTAATAAAAACTTTTGTAAACTTCTAAAACCCGTTAAAAACCCTTGTAAATCCTTAAAACCCATTTTAAAGAACTTGTAATACCTTTAAAAACTTTTGTAAACCCTTCAAAAACCTCAAAAACCTTTGTAAACTTCTAAAACCCTTTAAAACTTCTTGTAAATCCTTTAAAACTATTTTTAAATCTGTGTATGCTTTAAATATACTTTTAAATCCTTTTAAAAACACTTGTAAATCATTTTAAAAAAACCTTTAAAAATCCCTGTAAATTTTTAAAATCCTTTAAAAATTCTTGTAAATCCTTTTAAAATTGTTATAATCTTATAAAAACTTTTAAAAACCATTGTAAATCATTTAAAAACCATTTAAAAACCTTTGTAGGCTTCTAAAACTCTTTAAAAACCATTACAAATCTTTTAAAAACCATTTAAAAACTCTTGTAAATCCCTTTAAAAACCCTTGTAAACCCTTTAAAAAACCCTTTAAAAAATATTGTATACCCTTTAAAAAAATTTGGCGGGAAAATTTTGAAAAAATATTTTTTTTTGCGGAAATTTTTTGGCGGGAAAATTTTCCCGAGAAAATTTTTGGCGGGAAAATTTTTTCTCGGAAACTTTTGGCGGGAAAATTTTTTCTCGGAAACTTTTTTGGCGGGAAAATTTTGGCGGGAAACTTTTTGGCGGGAAATTTTTGGGGGGGAAATTTTTGGAATGAATATTCCTTCCTTTGTGAAAGAATATTCTTTCAAATAGGGGTAAAATAGCCATTAAAAATTAAGAGAAGGCAAAAATGAAAATGGTAAAAAAAGAGGGTATTTTTAAAAGAGGGTATCATAAAAAGGTTATTGGTATCAATTTTTCAATATTAAATTATGATCAATTTAAAATGAAAGTTTAATTATATTATTACCACTAATAAAAAAAATTAAAATATTGTTTTTCTTATTTTAACATTT